TATAGAGATTATTTCTGGACTCCATCAGCTCCTTATATAGCAGATGCGATGTGTATCCAATACGTTGCCTCAACATATGGATGGTTCGATTATTACTGCCATTATCTTGAGTCTATCCTCTGTGAGATTGATATAGAGTAGGCCTTCGGTGGTAACTGGTTAGCAGTGTTGGGGAGTAACAAATTACTAGTAACAAAATTACTGTAACAAATTACTTTTTCCAGTAACAAGTAATTGTAACAGATTACTTTTTGTGCAGGGTAACAAGTAACAGTAACAAATTATTTTTTTGCAGTAACAGTAACAAATATTATGCACTTTTGTTCTTCGTTACTTTTTTCAGCAGTGCGTGATTTATAACCATCATTGGTTGTCCTGTTGCGGCTCAGTCGTTCATTAGACGAACCATTTCCATGACTTGCCAATTTAATATTCTATGCTTGTATGCACTTCCTTTTCTTGTTTATGTTTACTCTCAGTCTCAGCATTTCACGTGGTTTGTGATTTAGTAAGTTGCGCGGATTTAGTTGGCATAATGGAAGACGAGAAGGAATTGGATTCAACTGATAATGAAGTAGGCCAAGTAGCTTGGATGGAACAACTGAAGGAATATTTTAACGTAGTTGAAGAAGAAGGAAAGAATGTGAGAGTACAGTGCAAGCGGTGCTTACCAAAACGAACGATTCTTAGCACATCGAAGATCAGCCCAGCGAATCTTTTAAAACACGTGGAGGTAAGGTTTTTTTCAATGTTAGCGAAAATTTGTTTTTTAATAAATTATCGGTTTTTTCGGAACGAAATAATGCCTGAATGGGATGCAATGAATTATCTACAACACCCAATTTTTATTCCGCATTCATCCGATGAATTAGCAAATGCTGTTATTTACAACTGAATTGAACAACATACATAACTGAATGGATATTAGCTTGTGTTTGTCTATTTTTTTAAATATTAACGAAATAATATTTAAAATTGAATGATGTGTGAACTTGTACAGAAGAAACATCAAAACATCTTGGAGAAAGTAAAGGAATGCCGGAAGAGGAAGGCTACTAGTGAAGTGTCCGACATGCCTGCAAAGAAAGCCTGCATACAAGCAACTGTGACAACATGCACCCCACTTGGTAGTTCTGTAATTTCGCAGGCGAAGGTCGATCAGCTGGTGACAAACTTCATTGTCGAGTATATGGAGCCAATGAGCATCGTCGAATCTCAACCCTTTATCGAGCTTGTTCAAGGTCTCCAGCCAACAAAGAAAGTTTTGTCGAGAAAAACTCTTAATGGTTAGTTCAATCTCTATAATATAATATGATTTTTTGTGGTTCGTCACATTAATTGCTTATTTTGAACGATGTCAAATAAAAGTAAATACAATCCTTAAGACCCTACTAAATTTGCAACACGCGTCTTTCTGTTTACAGATAAGTTGGACAAACTCGCGGACACGATGAAGGAAAGCATCTGTGCAGCGCTCAGCAAAGTCGATCATGTGTGCACAACAGCGGATATCTGGTCATCCAACAACAGGAGCTTTCTAGGCATCACAGTGCACTGGATTGATCCTGATACTCTGGAAAGACGTTCAGCGGCTTTGTGCTCTGAGGACAATATTGCTGAAGTTTTTGTAGCTCTTGAGGTCCCACAATTTCGTCCCAATGACATCCTTTTCTTG